CCCGGCAAAAGCCGTGATTTGGACGAGTGTTCCAAAGATACTGACATTTTGATTGCAGTTGGCTAGATGTGGCCTGCGAGGAGTCATGGAGATGTGCACCTATGGCTTGAAGGGCACCTGTGCCTACTTCTATCACGCAGAGCATTTAGAAGCAGGGGACGCTGCTTACAATGAGGCGGAGTGTGAGCAGGTCTATCAGGAGGGTGTGAATCACAGAGAGCAAAACCGGAGAGGCAGAACTTAGCATATCCTTGGACACAGATGGAGTCACTGCCTAGAGTGCTCACGTGCCTTCGTGACACTTGGACAGGAGATCTACCGTATTGGCAGCTATTTGGCGGACAATTGCAGCTGCAAGCCTAAGGACCTGGATCTAAACGCTCAGGCTTGCGCCGCCAGATTTGGTGGAAGCGATGGAAGCAAGTCTAAGTGTTGCCATAATTTCTGTACAACATCATTGGCTGTTGGTTTGTGAGCGTCCGCATTTGGACAGCTTTTTATGCCATCGATTTGAAGCACAGTTACTCAGGGACGCTCTCCCTGAGTACAAATTGACATAGTCCCAGCCTTAAAAGCAAAGCTGTTCGCACAGCGGCTTTTGCAGTGGCTTCATACAAAGGGGCCACACTTTCTTCGTTGGCCGCGAATGTTTTGTGGATGCGCGGCAGTCAATAGGCCTATGTTTGTAGTCTTTGAGCAAACTTACACAGGTATGTTTGATACAGTGCGGTGCACAAAGCCAGCGAGCAAAGTCATAGTTCGGGAGACAGATGCGCGGATGCACAGGTTCATTTGCTGAGAGGTCTGGAGGCCTGGCCTTGCCAGGAGGATGCTCTGTCTGTGGCCCTGTCAGAGTGCTTGGCCGTCGGGGCATTGAATCTGAAGGCACGCCCAGAGTGACAGAACCGGAGATATTCGGAGATCTCTCGCTGATGCTTTGAACAAGCCGCTAGGATTTGTGTTGCCAATTCTAATCCAGCCTAAGCTTACAGGAACATGGTAAGCAAACGAACGATGATCAGCCCAGCGTAAGTGGTGTAGATGTCTCCTCAGAGTCTCGTTGTGCACAGCACCTGTCCCCCCACTGAAACGTTTTTGACCTTGTGCTCCTTGTTGCGTTGCCCACTCAGGTCATGAAGATGTTGGATGCTGCCCACAACGTGCTGCTGGGCACTCCAACTCCGACTGAGGCGGGAATGTAGGCATTCAGGAAGCGTCACATGTGGATCCTGGCACTCCGATTCCCTGTTGATTTGCCAATCTGCAACATGGCGAAACAGTCACGACACCAAATGCGTTTCACGGGTGCCGTATTTCACTGGCCTTGAAGGTGACCCAGGAGCCGCCAGAGGGCCCTGCTATCCTGGTGAGCGGCCATGACTTGGCGGTCTTGCATCGGCTGCTGCAGCAGACCGAGGAAGCTGTTGACCGTTGAATTGTGTCAAGGTGCATGTTTTTCAAAACATTGTGACCAAATGTCGCTTGGAGCCATGCGTTGGGTGATGCGTGTCAAGCCTGCCAGGGCAAGTCTTTGAACATTTACACGCATGGAGAGCTGCTGCCAGCCCACGCGTATCCAAATCTCAAGAAGTTCAAGCACTTGCGCGGGCACTTCGGAACCCACTGGGGGAATCAGCAGAAGGACAGCTTTGACAGGTAGCATGTGAGAGTTTTCAATCATCGTGCACCACGCATCGCCGCTGAGCATTTGGCAATCTTTTGAGCCGTGCGCATCAACTGGAGTCTACGGCAAAAGCCCATCAGGAGTTCAGGCACTTCCCTGGCATTATTTTGATGACTTCCAACTGCCTGATGCCTCCAATTGGAAAGTACAAAGGCCGAATTTGGACGTGTGGCCTGCTGCCAGTTTGGCAATGATTTTGGTTGTGCAGCAAGCTCGAAGTGGGCGAGCCTCACTTGGTCAAACCAAGTTTTGATCATGTTTTGTCGTCACACATGAGAATTGATACGTGATCCTCACCCAGGTGGTCCAGTTGGATTTGACGACACACCCAATGTGGATGAACACAATTTTGCGCCGCTCATCCAGCAGGCCACGCATGCTTGCACGGTTCAAATACACATGAAATTCTCAGCCTGCAGGCTGACGTAGATGGCGTCCGTAAAATCTCGATTTTGACTTAAAGCTGAACCGATAGAGGCGAAGATCTGGGACTCTGTGTGCGCAAGAAGCGCTTCACCAACCTACTGCACACCTAGCACAACCTATGCACTGAGCCGCAAACACACACACACACAAGGTGCATGCGAGCGCAAGTGAGTCCCGCAAGGCATCTGACAATGAGTGAAGCTTGAACCAGGACCCTTAACTTTTCTTCAAAAACTTCAAAAAGAGCATACAGAACTTCGCGGCATAGCAGCACGAAGCCTTGGCTACAGGTGTCTTTGTCAATATGTGTGTGCAAATTATCCTGCGTTTGCCTCGAGGCCCTGGAGTTCAAGGAGGCTGTGCCGCCGCCCCGCTCTGGCATGATTCCGTCTGGCAAGCTTCAGGTGGGCTTTGGCGGCTTAGCTGCATTTCAATCACAGCGATTGGATTTGGTGGGGATGTTAAAGTAAAGCATCCTGAGAACCCCGGCATGCCTCCAACAGGAGCAGGGATGGCGTACTTTTGAGCTGGAATCGCAACATCGTTGAATGGTTGTTGTGAATCAGATAGACAGGAGCTTTACAGAGACATGGCATCCCAATGAGCAAGTACACACACACCAAAGGCACAATCCAGAGAGCAAAGTACAGAGGCACGGTCGCACATGCACCCACACACCTACCCACACGTGCACGCACAAACACACACACACACACACACACACACACACACACACACACACACACACACACACACACACACACACACACACACACAAACACACACACACACACACACACACACACACACACACACACA